AACTGCCTAATAATAGGATCCTCAAGTTCCAAGTAAAATACTTAAGAGGATAATATCTAATGAAGTATTCTTAATCTAAGATAATTAAAGTCAATCAGATTATACCCATTCCTAATTTAAGCCAAGTTTGTTCCAGCCATTTAATGGAGTTGGCTAAATAGAAACTCAAGTGCTTGTTGCTAATACTAATTAACAAATGGTTGAATTAAAATATGTGAGTGATGCAAAACCTCGTTAAAATCTGAAGTTACCATGGGCGTGCAGAAGGAGGTGTTTTCTCAGAAGGACGGTTTCTGCTGCCTCAGTTATTTGTGGGGCTTCTGTAGGGAAATGTCAAGATTCCTGATGCAATGCCTTTTGGTGAGAGGGGATGGAAAAAGGAGAGTGTCATATCTTTGCAAGTTTTTTCTTCTCCAACCTTAGCAATATTGGTGCTGTTGTCTGGTGCTGTCCTGATGGCTTCAACTCCCAGTGACCCTCTATAGACAACAGAACAAAACAATGCCCCATCCTGTGCAGTCCTCACAATCGTTTCTGCATTTGAGCCCACTGTTAATCCGTCTCACTGAAGGTCGTCTTCTTTTCCACCGACCCTCTACTTTATCAAGCATGATGTCCTCCTTCTTCCAGGTTTGTTCATTCTTCCGGCAGTCTACGGAATAGTCAATATTCTTCGGCAACACCGTGATTCAAAGGCATCTGTTCTTTGGTTTTCCTTATTTACTGCCAGCTTTCATATGCATAGGAGGAGACTGAAAATACCATGGCTTGGGTCAGGCCTATCTTACTCCCCCAAATGACATCTTTGCTCTTAAACACTTTAAAGAGGTCTTTTGCAGCAATTTTGCCCATTGCAATACATTGTCTGATTCCTTAACTGTTGCATCCATGGGCATTGATTGTGGATCCAAGTAAAATGAAATCCTTGACAACTTCCATCTTTCCTCCATTAGTCATGATGTTGCTTATAGGCCCAATTATGAGGATTTTGTTGGGATGTAATCCATACTGGAGGCTGTAGTCTTGAAGTGCTTCAAGTCCTCTTCGCTTTGAGTGAGCGAGGCTGTGTCACCTGCAGACCACAGGCTGTTCACCAATCTTCCCACAATCCTGACGCCTCATTCTTCTTTACACGGTACAGCTGCTTGATTATTGGTTCAACATACAGCCTGAATAAGTACAGTGAAAGGATACACCCGGACACACACCTTTCCTGATTATAAATCACGTAGTATCCCCTGTTCTGTTGAAATAACCTTCTCGTGATCTAGATACAGGTTCCACACAAGCACAGGTGTTCTGGAATCCCCATTCTTTGCAATGTTATCCATAATCTGTTATGACCTACATAGCAGAATTCCTTCACATAGTCAATAAAACACAGGTAAACTTCCGTCTGGCATTCTGTACTTTTAGCCAACACCTGACGTCATCAATAACATCTCTAATTCTGTGTTCACTTAGTTTCTGACTAAGACTAGGAAGAAAGACCTGCAGATCTACTTCTTAAAAAAAAAAAAAACATTGACCAGCCAAAACCTGATGGGCAGCAGCAGAATACCGTCTGATACAGCACCGAAAGATGAGTCCCTCAGGTTGGGAGGTGCACAGAATGCGACTGGGGAAGAGCTGCCTCCCGAAAGCAGAGTTGACCCTAATGATGGGGATGGAGCAAAGCTCTCAGGACCTTCATTTGCTGATGGGGCACGACTCAAAATGAGAAGAAACAGCTGCAAACATCCATTCATAATTGGAACGTGGGAGGTATGAAGTATGAATTTGGAAAATTGAAGTAAAAAATGAATTCGGATGCTTGCAGACAGATATCTTTGGCATTAGTGAGTTGAAATGGACTGGTATTGGCCATTTTGAATTGGTCTACTATGCCAGAAGTGACAAATTAAGAGAAATGGCATCACATTCATTGTTAGAACATTTCAAGATCTATCCTGAAGTATAATGCTGTCAGTGATACGGAAGGGGGGAAAAAAAAAGGACAAGAACAGCCAGACACTTTTGGCTTCCAAAACAGCACTGTTTTGTTCTCAGCCTCTGTGAAAATGGCATTGCAGCAGAGCTGTCTGACCTCCTCTAAGTTCTCAAAGGGGAGAGAGAATCACCATCAGCATCAACAGTCCAAGGCTGATTCCTATGAGGCGCAGGTCAGACCTGCTGCCACCCTGCAACCTTTTTTACCAATTCTGACAACCACCTTTCCTCCCAGGGCACTTTCTACCTCTCTGCTGGGTTTGATTATGCGTTGCTATGGCCTCACAGATAATACTCATGATTTAGGATTTATCAGGGAATTTATCAGGTTCAGGAATGCTCAGGATATAATTCTTTGCTCAGGATAGTCTCCCCTTGGCCATGCCTGCAGGCACACCTCTTTGGCCCTTGGCCTCTTGGTCTGCCCTCGGCCCTGCTCGGAAAAGTGTTGCAAAGTTCTCTTAGCCCTGGGAGCATCCAGCTCTGCTAGCGAGCCCTCTGCCTGCAGGTGCTCAGCTTGCTTGCTCTGTGGTCCAGGAAGGCCGCCATTCTATCTGCCACTGGGTCCCCTGCTGCCATTTCTCTGCTGCTGCTTTTCAGCATCTCTTACCTTCTCAGCAAAGTGCTACAGTTCTCTCTCTGTCTCCTGGGTTGAGGAGATTCAGTGCCGGGATCTCAAGTCCAAGGACATGCTCCACTCCTGGCTCTTCTCTCTTGATGGAGTGAGATCTCTTCCATCTCCGGGATGGCTGACTTCAAGCCTAGTAGGTGGAAAAACTGACCAATCCCCACATTAGGGATCCACACACCTTATTTGCAGACTCTTACCCCGACAAGGGTGTTAAAGACCTTATTTACATTATTAGCAAGCTATCCAGTCCCCTAGGTGGGTTGCAAGCACTTCACATTTGCATAGTCCCACCCAGTCATCTAGTGGGAGTCACAGAGACCACAGGCAGAAGATCCATCTTAAGTAATTCCCTGCACTGCAGCCTCTGTTATTGGTTTCCTGATCTCTTTTTTGTTGGAATTTCCCAGGACTCAGGCCTTTGGTTTCTTCTCTCCCTTATCACACTTTCTTCCTATGGTGATTAAATCAGTTCTCATAGCTTTATATAACAACCGAACACTACCTCCCACCTACCGGTGTAATCTAGACTACTCTCCCAAATTCAACTACTTAATTGGTGTAAAAATGTGATGGCGTCAGACCTCGCCTAACTTCAGCAGGAGGAGAGAGAATAGGATCAGCCTCAGCCCAAAGCTGATTCCCATGAGATGCAAGTCAGACATACCATTTGTCTCCAGCCTTTTGACCAATTCTACACCAGGCATCCCTCCCACAACACTCTCTGCTTCTCTGCTGGGTTCAATGATTTGTTGCAAAGGCCACACAGAATTCATGGTCCATGCTCAGTTATGGGATTTATTAGGGGAGTGACAGGTTACAGTTCAGGATAAAGGTCTTTAATCAGGTCCACTTTTTCTTGGTCTGCAGCCACTGGGCCTGATCAGGCCTGGCCTCTGCTGCTGGGCCCTGGTTAGGCCCAGCCTCTGGCCTGCTTAGCAAGTATTACAAAGCTCTTTAGCTCCACCAGCAAGTGCCTGGAGGTACCCTACTCCACCAGGAAGTCTCCCAGCTGGAGGCATTCAGCTCTCTTGTTCCATGAGTCAGTAAGCCTAGCTCCACTGACAAATGCTGGCATCAGTATACTTTAAAAATTTCCTGTACTTCTTAAAAAATAATCAGTGTGAAGATGGATAGAAATGAAACAAGATTAACCATCAAATGGTAGCTGTTGAAACTTAGTG